GGGAGAAGGGGAAAAGGCTCTTAGCTTGGCACTGGTGCCAAGGCTGAAACATAATGGTAGAAAAAGTGCAATGATTTATGTGTTGAATCTGCTTAATCAAAATGCAAATTAATATTATGCATAATTATCATAATTTGCATAATGTGCAAACTGGATGCCCAGATATGAGGGACTGTAGTATGGCAACCCTAAGCCGGGAGGGTCCCCTTGCCCTTTGCTTTTTGGTGCCTACCTTGGGGACCGTGGGAGGAAGCAATTCCTTGAAACCAGAGCCCCATTTCTGGAAAGGACAGGGCACTTTCCCCACTCAACGCCTGCCCTAGTCATTTCCTCTCCAGCAAAAGTCCCAACAACACAATGAGCATGCAGTGTGTGTGTGTGCGCGCGCGCGCGTGGACATATGTGCATCGTTGTGCCAGGTGTCCCTTCAACTTTGTGTGCTCACTCTGTTCCCCAGCAACCTTGTGGCTGTCCAGCATGAGCTTGGCCGTCCACAATGGCACCATCCGCCTCTCAGTCCGGCCGCCTATCAGCCCCTGGGACAATATCACCTACGAGGACCTCCACCCCAGGTACAGGCAGTACCACGCCTATGTCCGGGATGTGTCCAACAGGAGCCAGGTAAGGATGCGGGGGCCCTTGCTGGCTCCTGGTCAGCTGCTGCTGGAAGTGGGGAGAGGGTCACTGGCCGGGTCTGCTCCCCTGGGGTGGGAGTCTGGGGCTGTGCCCTGTGCCATGTGCCAGGTCAAGATCCTGGGCGTTGTGTGTGTCAGCACACTTGTGGGGGAAAGCTGGAGGCAGCCTTGTCCATCCCACAAAGACAGCAGAGGCCTTGGCCCCACGGCACAGGGAGGAAGGGGTGCGTGATGGTTAAGGCTGGATCTCTGGCCACTCGGCCTCACCCGGCTCTTCTCCACAGCTGGTATACATCGGGACCAGTTTAGAGTTTGACCTCCCAGCCCTGCCACCAGGCGAGAGGTACTGTGTCAGCGTGGAGCCACGGATCGCCTCCCAGGCAATTCCTGCCGACAGGACAGAGGAGCAGTGCATCTCCCTCCCCGCCCTGGAGGAAGGTGAGGCTCCAGCTTCACACGCATGCACACGTGCACACGTGCATATCTGCACACATGTGCCTTGCACCCCCTCCTCCTGGCCACGCAAGGCAAAACCAGAGGCTCTTGCAGGGCCTCATCTGCTGCAGCTCCTCTCCTCCTGCTCCTCCGTCTCTTTCTTGGCCGGCCAGCCTTGACCACTGCAGGGGTCCCATCCTCCACCAGATCCCACTTGCAGGGCCAGAGAGGCCTCTCCTCTGTGGGTGCCATTGTGTCCCATGGGAGAATGCTGTCTTTCTTTACAGACCATGCCATCTTAGCCCTCCTGAGCCTGCCTCTCCTTGGTGCCCTGGCAGTCAGCTTGGGCCTGGCCTGGGCCTATGTGAAGGTGGCCACAAAGACCCTACCGGAGGTGTTGGTGAGTGTGTGTGCTGAGGGCCAGTGGCCCCTCCCAAGGGCCAGTATAGCCAGTCGTGGTGATGGGGGGCGGAGAGGCCCACCTCGGTGGATGCGTGGAGCCTCTGGCCCCAAGGACTCAGCATCTTCCCTTTTCTGTTCTCTCCTTGACTGCCA